CCCTGAAAATATTGTCTCTCTATGTGAAGAAGAGTATTTTTAAATCCTTGCGTCTGTGTGTATGTGTTTAAATGGATTTAGTCCCTACTGATCCCCATCCAAGCAGAAATAATTCCTATGTCCTCCCCACTACGAAAATAGGATCTTTGATATCAGATGTGTATTAAAGGCTTGAAAATTATTTCAATAGGGAATTACTGTATTATGCAAGCTCTCTGATAAATTTGGGGCAGCTAGAGGGAATCGTTAGAGCAGCTGTTAGGTGCAAAAAGATTTTACTTTCCTAGGCAGACTGTGTGCCACTGAGATCTGTCTCAGAGCCGCAGTGTCTCCTCTGGCTCCACCCAGTACTACACCTACGGTTATAATCTGGCCCATGAAACATATTGCCCTGCATTCCTTTTAAATGAAACACCAGACCTAAGAAGAAATAAAGATTTCTGTGAAAAATATTAACCCCCCCTGTTTTTTTGAGGTGGGGAGAAACTACATTAACAAAACACTGGCATTCTTGGTCTGACCTTTCTCTTGGCCCTCACTTTTCTGATTTTTGGAACATCTAAGCTCTTCAGAAATGCTTTTGCCTTTAATGCTTTTTCCCCCACAGTACCCTTGCAGGAGAGGCAAGATCCATTACCTCTTTCTGGAGATGAGCTGCAAATGGTGACTCAGGTGCATGTTCTGCTTTGTAAAGAAACTCAAGCTAAATATGAGTTAGCTCAGATACTGGACTCAGTATGAGCATATTAACATGACATTCTGCCTGGATTAATTCCCTTTCTTCTCTTATTTTCCTTACTACAGTTAATTGTCCTAACTATACAGAGTTAATTCTCCCTAACTACAGTGTCCTCTGATGTGCTTCTATCGCTTCAATACATAATCTTCCTTATGAATGGCTAACTTTAATATTACAGCTGATTTATATTACATTAACATAACATTAATAGCCATCCAAAGCCACTCACACAAAGGTTGGAAGAGGGTAAGCAACTGAACCTAGATTTTTCAGAGCTGAGACCTCCTGCCTTTCTGCTATCCCCTACAAAGTTGTTTTGAGAAACAGAACAAACTGTTAACTTTCCTCTTGCTGCCTGTATAGGAGCCTCTAACTCTGTCCTGAGACAAACGGGTGCAAGCCAACACAACAGACCTCATGTAAAAAAAAAATCTTCTCATCAGGAGGAGCTGGACTAGGCTTGTATTCTCTTTAGAAGAGGAATCTTAGCAGTCTGAGGCACACAGAGATATCTAGGTGACTAGTCAGCATGCTGAGATACGCAGTGCACATTAATCAGGGTTCCCCGTCATTGTTTTTTTTTAATGCAGTCATAAACAAACCCCACCCACCACCTGCCCAGACCACAAGAAATTAATCTCAGTATTCTTGCTTATTCTGGAAGGATTAGCTAGGTCACAGATTATTTCATATGCTTCTTGGATACGTTGTTGAAAAGAAAAGACTACCCAATCAACTGCCACTGGTTTCTCATCAATAAATTTTTGACAGAAGAAAATGTATAGTTTTCAATTTGAGGAAGTAGAAATGTCTGTAATTTATGAAGCAATCATGATTATTAAACGTAAATATGTAATTTATACACACCCTATTAAAGCCTGCATTAAGAAGGGGAAGAACCGAAGTCTCTTCTTGGTCAGCAGATCTACAAAACAAAATGTATGGTCACACTTAACATTTAAGAATTAGAGGCTATCAATTTGACAGTTACCTAAATATAATGAATGCAGTGAGAACACTCTTGCCTAAAATACGGACATTAAATCATACTATTACAGAAGTTGATGCTATAGTCTTCTTGTATAGGTATTTGCAGCTATTACTACAACCTGATAATTATTCCCACAGCAGACCTGACAGACACTCTACAGAAGTCATGTGTCTTTTCATAGACGCACAAGGGCATTACAAAAAGAAAGCATGAAGACGATAAAAGACATCCTGTGATATCCTATGAGACAGAATCTAAAAAAGTGTTATTAAGTAAAAGGTGAAGCAAGTTGTAAAGTCTTGCTCACCAGCAAACTTAGTCTATTTTCTAAGCTTGGCAGGAACAGTTCTTCTCCTGCCACTCTATTTCCTAATATTTTAATTGAGCTAGGAAGTTAATAAAATTAGAACAGATTCAGTAGTGTGCAGAAGTTTTAACAAGAACAGGAAACGTCTCTTTTTTGAAGGTATTTGATAAACAATGTATTTAAGTTAGTAAGAATTCTGCCTGAATACATAGGTTATGAATTACTGAATAAGGATTTTGGGACAACATTCTGGTTGGTTGAGTACCAACAGGATTGAAGTTTACCTCATTACCCAGTTCCCTTATAATCATAGTGTGTTATTTGATCTAGTTATTTCCTTTAGAAAGTAGTACACAGCTTTCTATTTTTTTCTCTTTTAGAAGCCAACACATAGCTTTCTATTTTTTCTTAGTATACAAGCCATTACATTATGATCCTCTGAAGGTGATAAGGATAATACTAGCTTGTATAAATGGAAAGTTACCAAATACTTAAATAGGCCACATAAAACATCACTAACCCATTTCAGGTAAAATAGTATTAAACTTAGTCTATGCGGCTTGCTAGTAAGATGCTTTCTGTTATTAGATAACTATTATACATAACATTCTTATAAAGTAAAATAAAAATCTTTCACAAAACAGTAATATTTACGTGCGTGGAACCACAGCAAGTATTACAGTGTGCTCTGATGGTTTTGTGGCACGAATGGACCTGAGGAAACAAAAATTTCTCCATTACACTACATGCTTTCTCAATGTTCCTCTGAGTATCTTCACAGACAATATAAATGAAAACAAGGACTGAAAAACACCACTGAGACTAGAAAATAGGATAACACACTGCCAAAACTGACCTATCCCCACTTAGACAATCCATTTCCACTTTGCTACCAGATTCCTCAGATTTTGCTCAAAGCACTCAAGAGGCAAGAACTCCAAAATCACAGGGCATGAAGAGCAGCTCTTCAAATCCACTCTGATGACCTAGCAAAGGTTTGCTCTGTTTACATAGCTTATTTGGGGCAGACTGGCCTGAATGCATGGGTTGAGAAAGGTTAGTCTATACAATGCATTTTTAATACACATTAGCTGATTTAAACAAGAATCTCTATAACCTTCTCCCATATTTACCATTGTCTTTCTAGATACTGTAAGAGTTTCTTCAGAGGGTAGGAAGTGCTTTTGGGGAATGCAAATAACAAAAGAGGGTATAGCAAATGTATATGACAGACTATCATTTATGAAATGCTGAATAAACAAAATTCTATCGCTTCACATATTATTGAGAAACTGAAAAAAATATGACCAACTATCAGAAGAACACTCCATTCACATTTTACTGGCTAAAGATAACTTTTTGCAATCATGTCACACTCCTGAATAAACAGACTTTATATTTATTTATTCATCTTTTAGAAGAGCTTCCATCAGCATAAGTATTTGAGCTTTAAAATGTTCCTTGTCATAAACAGGGTAAATTTCAGCTCATGATGGACTGAGAAGCACAGTATGGTGTATGATACAAAATATGTGCTTCAGCTGTATTTTAGCAAAGAATCCCAATACCAAGTGCTTGCAGCCTTAGAGCTGCTAAGACAGAGTCATGTGGACCAGAAAAGTGATGAGAACTTTTGTGAAGAGCTGGCAGTGCCTGACCTGGTGGTCAAACAAACACAATCCTTTGAAGCCTGCCACTTCAGATTTTGCTGCAGCAATAACCCAGGAAAGAAGTAGGCACAGACAACAGGAATAATTTCACAACAGCTCTGTTTTATGCTCTGATAGAAGCTCATGACCTAAAGAGACAATTCTACAATTCAGCTTTGTCAAAAGTTTATTTTTCATGTTGTTCTCCTCTTACAGATGTATGCAAAACTCCTGGCCTCAATCCCCTTCCTTTTCACTATAGTTTTGGGGGTTTATTTTTTGGTGGTGGGTTTTTTTTCTCTTCCCTGCCCACCCCCCCCACCCCCCCC